GACACTCCACTGACCGGGGGCAAGGTCGCACTTGCGCAAATTAGGAGATTTGGGCCGATGATCTTTGCTATCTACGGTCAGTATCTCTTAATGCGTGCAAGTGGGACCTAGCCCCGGTAAAGACTGTACCTTACGATCAGCCTCACGGTCTTTGTAATAGTTAATAGATGGCCAGCTGCGCAGTTGAGGATTGTACTCCAGAGTCCCACTTGGGGGAATTTTCTACGGCGAAGGATCATCCGTCGGCACTAGGGATTTGAGCCTCGGCGGCTGCGGGCGTGGCCTCCACCTCGCCGTTTAGTGCTCTCAACGGTAGGCGCGTCCTTCAAAATTTTGGACCTTTTCTCGATTTGTTTTATTTTTATTTTTATTGTTTTTGGGGAAAAGGCAGAGAATCCATTATAAAAGTACAAAGACTTCGAGGCCGGGAATCCTCAACACAAAAAACGGTGATCCAGCGGCCTAACTCAGTTGGTAAGGCAAGCAAGTGGCATTCAGGAGGTCGTGGGTTCAATCCCCATTGGCCCCATGTACCTTCCTGGGAATGCTTGGGGCCCGCCACCTAGAGATAAACCACTGGATCCGCCGATCGGCATTGAGCAGAGTCTGCTGATGTTCGTTGGGGAGGAGACCTGAGGGGAGGCACAGGGATTGGTCCTGGTCCCTGATGCTACCGGCTGTTCCCTAGCCGGTATCGCCCACCTGCAGGTCGAGTGAAGACCCCCCATGTTCTCTCGTGAACAGGGTTCTGGCTGCTAGGGGGTTCCCCGTATGCCTACAATTAGGAGTAGTGGTAGGTAGGTAGTGTGAGGTGAAATTGAGAGAACAACACAGCTTTTTAAAAAAAGAACAAAAAACCCGGTGAGAACAGGACACTACAGTAGGCTCGGCTCATTGCCCAGCTTTGGTTTACCCAACCAGTAGACAGCTTAATCTACGCTAGCTGTACTGTACGGATTTATTCAATCGAGCTCTATGCTCTTCATCTACCTATAGAGAGTAAAAGAGAAGAGGAGAAGTCAAAAAACAACAACGAGAAGAAAATGGGGAGAAAAGGCAATGCCATCCAAACCTATCCTACTCCTTGGACTGCTACCAGGGCTAAAACGACCTGATTTTACAGGGTAACCACCCCCAATTGACACTCTGTCCCCATAGCCCCTAACAACAAAACTATCAAACTACCAGAAAAAGGAGAATAAAAGGCTACAACATGCTTCTGCCTGCCTCTTGCGGCTATTATCACCGAGTGTCCTGGTATAACTTGTTATTACTATTTCAACCAAGAGCACAATTCCAACCTACATTCTGAATTCACAGTGACTAACTACTTGGAGTCCTTACCCCGACCCCATGTCCTCAAAAACCACCTAAAGCCTTTCCCTATCCTCAAACTACTACTGTTCCTTAGCCTTTATGTAAACATTATGCCAACAATTCCGCACCTGGTTGCACGCAAACTGAACGAAACAGATTCAACAATACAACATCCTAGACCTTCAACGACAACCAGCAGCGACTTACGGTTGGAAACTGGTACTGGGTCATAGGCATTTGGGACCTGACCTCCCAACCGCAGATCTACCACATCGAGGGCCTTGAAGACAACAGGGATTGCAGTTTCTAAAGATCGACGATGGACACAATTCATCTCAACATCTACGGTCAATTTGGGACTTTGACGTGACACTTACTCTGGCTGGGGCGCGTCTCGGGAAAGCACGCAAGCTATCGTGGCTGGTCAAGCGCCTGTGACTTATACAGTCGCGGGTCAAAGCAGTGGTAGCGGTCGGGCCAGCGAGGTCGTACTCCAGCCAGGGCAAGTGTCATGTCAAAGTCCCAAATTGACCGTAGATGTTGAGATGAATTGTGTCCATCGTCGATCTTTAGAAACTTCAATCCCTGTTGTCTTGAAGGCCCTCGATGTGGTAGATCTGCGGTTGGGAGGTCAGGTCCCAAATGCCTATGACCCGGTACCAATTTCCAACTGTAAGTCGCTGCTGGTTGTCGTTGAAGGTCTAGGATGTTGTATTGTTGAATCTGTTTCGTTCAGTTTGCATGCAACCAGGTGTAGAGTCGTTGGCATAATGATACACAGGTTGTTCGTTCCACCATTCCCTGCAAGACAATGGTACACAGGTCTCTTCCGGATAAAATAGGAAAATGAAACTTCGTAGATGACGCCAGATCGCACAAAAGTGAGTCAGGAAAATGGGTCGCAAGCCCGCACACCGCGGGGAAAAATTAAGGGTGGGCGGGACCGCTTCACCAAATCAAGGCGGAGGAAAATGACTCAACTTCTGAAAGACTTGACCCTTGTGTGGCGTGCGCGCAGGTTCGCGTTTGCAATGAATGTTGCGAGCGGTCGGGGTCTGGAAGGCGCGGCTTGGGAAAGCACGCAAGCTATCGTGGCTGGTCAAGCGCCTGTGACTTATACAGTCGCGGCTCAAAGCAGTGGTAGCGGTCGGGCCAGCGAAGCCGTACTCTAGTCAGGGTAAGTGTCACATCAAAGTCCCAAACTGACCGTAGATGCTGAGATGAATTGTGTCCATCGTCGATCCTTAGAAACTGCAATCCCTGTTGTCTTGAAGACCCTCGATGTGCTAGATCTGCGGTTCGGAGGTCAGGTCCCAAATGCCTATGACCCGGTACCAGTTTCCAACCGTAAGTCATTGTTGGTTGTCATTGAGGGTCTACGATATTATATTGTTGAATCTGTTTCATTCAGTTTGTGTACAACCAGATGGGGAGTTGTTGGCATAATGTTACACAAGTCTCTTCCGGATAAAATAGGAAAATGAAACTCCTTAAATGATGTCCGATTGCACAGAAGTGAGTCAGGAAAATGGCCCGCAGACCTACACACCTCCTGGAACCGCTCAACTCCCTCCATCGTCCCGCAAGTGGCATCGTCGTCTTGCAGGGAATGGTGGAACGAACGCCTGAACGATGGTGGCTGAAGACAGAAGCGCAGCACTCCAGAGTTTGCAGGTGGATATGAAGTCGGTCTTGCGTGGAGCAGTGCATTGGTTTGCGAGTACGGGCCCGGTCGACGATGGAGAGGTGAAATGAAAAAGTTTTTTCTTGACTTGAATGAGTGGCTGGAACGTAACATGGTTGGAAGGGATTGTACGACGTATATCGACCTGGATGTTTTGTCGTTCATTAGCAGTCAGTGGTTTGTTGAGGTGGAAAGTCGGTGTCGAACTTCTGATCCCTTCCACTGTAGATGCGGTTGTGAATTGCTTGAATGCTTATTTTCGACTACTCGGGAGAGAAGGGGAGGGTGATCTGTGCTAAAGCAGCAGAGTTTCCGCAAAGCGTACCGAGAGTATTCGCTGCAGAGAGGTGTGATTGAAGAGTCTGCACGACCATTGAAATGAGAACAATTGAAAAAAGTGATAGATCATATGAGGGAGAAGGTGAGGATATTAAAAGGATATACGGAAACTCATGCTTATAGAGATGGGGTGACCTTTTTGTATTTGTGGGAGAGTTGGCAGCGTTGTGGTGAGGGGTTGAGATTGCAATACAAGGAGATTGATATTGGACAGAGGGTTGTTCGGCCAGGGTATACTAAGACTGATCGTCATGGTGGAAGGTTTATGATAAGGTTGCGTGATCTCGAAGGAGGAAAGGAAACTTTCTTGGGTTGACTTCCAAATTTGTTGAATACTTATGATCAGTTGGGGCAAAAATGGGTTATATGCTTAGGTCTATGCGTGGTGAAGGTCCGGTAACCGGAGGTGGTTTTAACAAGCGCATAGAGAAATGGTTTGAAAAGGCGGGAGTTTATGAAGGGGAGAGTGGTCACAGTTTTCGGATCGAGGGGGGTTCAAGCGGGAATAGAGGAGGGTTAGAGTCTGGGTGAGATGATGCGGCAAGGTACATGGCATAGCGTGGGAACCTTTATGAGATATGGTTATGGAATTCGACGCGTGTGGAAAAGGAGAAATGATAGGAATTTAGATGGAGAAAAAAATTGTTGTGAGGCCGAGGATTATCGGGTTGGGAGTGTTGAAGTGAACCCAGGGGCTGGGGAGGCAGGAGAATCTGGATTAGGGGATGGTGAAACGGTGGATGACGTTGAGTGAGAGAAGGCGAGGATACCAAGTGGTGCGTTGAGATGAAGGTAGTATAAGGAGGTAGTCGGCTGGGTTGGCGAGTGTCTTAGAGAGAGTATGATGTAGTAGTGTTGTTGGTGGGAAAATCCAGCGATATGGAAGGAATAACAGTAAGTTCCAATCTAATGAGAGGGCGTCTATTTGTGAAGCTTTTGTTGACCAGTTTCGAAAAACAAAGGTTGAGCAGACATTGTGATAATCCGATGTGAAGAGATCGATTACTGGTGTACCTATTTGCGAGAAGATTTCTACCTTTACGTATCCCGCCAATCCCCAATCTCTATTATCTTCAATCTTAGAGATAGAGTCAAATGTTGTATTTAACGTTCTGAGCATCCAGATAGGACTGAGGAGTGAATCGAAAATGAGTAGGATTGTAGTGATGGTTCGTAGCCATGGATTGAAAGATTCATCGGTTGATTTCATTATAAGGAGTAAAGTTGTGGCAGCCTAACTGTCAGAGTGAAGTCTGATTGAGGTTGATGAAAGAAGATGAGGGTGAGCATAAGCAAGAAATCTGAAAGTTTTAAAATAGCAAAAAGTTTTATGTGAGTGGAGGATGAGTTGAGCAATGATTGAGGCAAACATTGATTAAGCGTGATGAGTTCATTGTGCAGGGGGTGAATAACTGCTGCGATTTGAGTTGTTGAGGCATCGGTAAATATGGATAAAGACGCAGGGCGGACAATCCAGAGTCTTCCTGGGAGGTGGGTCCGGGTAGGTGGGAGATCCACCACATGAGGTCTTGGATAAGATTATCGGAGATGAGAATAGGGGAGTCTCAATTGGAAG